TGGCTACTGACCCTAATATTAGTGGAATCCATACCTAAACCTAACACCTGACTCTTGCCTTAAACTTTCACTTAGCCGATCCCTAACCCTGACACTTGCCCTAAACCTAATTTTAGCCCTTACTATCAACTTACCAGATCAATTGGCTACTGACCCTAATATTAGTGGAATCCATACCTAAACCTAACACCTGACTCTTGCCTTAAAATTTCACTTAGCCGATCCCTAACCCTGACACTTGCCCTAAACCTAATTTTAAGCCTTGCCCTAACCCTAAAACCTAGCCATTACTCTAAAAGCTAACCCTAATTCTCCAAGTTCTACAAACTGGCTTGGCTATGGATCTGAGAGATACCAACGAACATGCGCCGGACCGTGCAATACCTTTGATCCCCTAACCAACTGCTCTAGTCGTCGGACTGAGTGGGGGGGGGGGGGGTCATCGAGAGAGTGTCTAACGCCTAACATACAAAACAGCAAACAACCTAGTGAGAGACATAATGAAGTAATCATTGCACTGTCCGTCCCAGTTTTATGTCCGTCCGCCGATCTGCTTTTTTCGTCTCTCTGGCTGCGCATGCGCACTGATCTGTTTTTTCGAGGGAAAATGTCAAAAACGTACGAAATAGTGTGCATAACTTCGTACGATTTCATATGAACTGATAATGAGAATATGTTGAACTGGTGGGCGTGAATGAGAATGAGAAATGAGAATGTCGTTTTTTCACTTCAGTTTCCATTTAGAGGCTCAGTAGATTTATCATTTAGCAAATAATTGAATACTTTTTTAACCATATATTTTAGTTTCCTCTTTAATTAATTGCTTGGAATAAACTCTAGTTCACGAACATAAAATCTTTGAAATTGTCGCCTCATTTTGCTGATTATGTTTTTAAACCTTTTTTCATTTTCTTCTTTTCTTACACGGCAGCTTAGTTTATTGAGTTTCCTTTCTTTAGTTAAAAAGTAGTTTTTACCTAAAAATATGAAATATGTTTGACCTGGAGTTGAATGATTTTTCTTAAAGGAAACGTCTGGTCAGTCAGGAATAATTAATGGTTCATTATTTACACCTAAAACTAATTCCTTTACATGAACAAGTGCACTCTGACTAACAACTACAGGTGTTTGGGTCCAGGTACTCAGAGATTCACTTCCACACAGAAAGCCCATATTCTGATCTTCAGGTAACACAGAATACATGTCAGATTAAATAATACTACTTATATTTCAGCGATAGTATCTAGGTGTTACTTTATTGTATCTCTTATATCTGTCAGTTGTTCTGTTGTTTTTCCATCTCTTTGCAGGTGATGAAGCAGAATGAAGATGTTTTATCATTGTCTCCCTTTTAACTCCTCTTTCTTTCATCTTTTCTCCTTTTTTTCCTTTGCTGTTCTACCTACATTGCAGTGTCCATATAATCTGTAAAACTCCCTGCATGAATTATAATAAAGCTATTTATATGCATAAATCAAGCGGAACACTATGAAGATAGCCGTACTACTCCACTGGTGAAAGTAAAATCTGTTGGGCTCTTTATGGCTTCAAGACAATTATAATTATTGCCACATCGCCAGACAGGACACTGTAAAATAAATAAATGAATAATATATAAAAACAAAACAAACAAAAAAAAAATTATATATATATATATATATATATATATATATATATACACGTTTGCGGTGGTTTAATGAATTTAGCGTTAATGTGTAAAAAACATAATAAAAAACAATTCCGTTGCGATCACTGAGTCTGGGAGCGGCCATTTTTGCCCAAATATAGTAGCCCCTCCCTCCTGCCATCTTCCAGCAGTGACGTCATGGTGCGGTAAGCCTAACGCCATTCTCCCCGCTTTACAAGCTAAATCAATGGGAACTACTAGACACATCTGCAATCAACAACAATTATTGAAGATTTCCAGAGGACTTCACCATTGAAATTCACCAGAGCTATAGTGAAACTGACAATGCCCACGTGCATGGCAGCTGGATGCTGGAATACATCGGGTAAAAGTGAAAAAAAAAAGAGTTATTCCACCTTTCTGATTCCTGATCCTCCACGGACGGGTTGGTCGTTGGATCGCCAACTTGAAGAGGGAGGATTTGCCATCGAACTTCTGGCCAGAGAAAAAACACGTAATATGTAGCCAACATTTGGAAGAAGAATGTTTTCAAGATGACTTGGATAATAGCGCGTTGTGACAAACACCAGATACAGCACTGGGACTTGATCAACAGCCGATACCGCACCGTGACGTCACTAACCAGTAGGTGGCAGTAGTGTTCTTTGACAAACATGGATGCCTCCAGTAAAGCACATTCACATGAAAATTACTCTGAATTAAAAACACTTAAAATTTATTCAACAGGATGGAATAATTTTATATTTTAAGAACTTTCAGAAGTTTGAATTCTGAATGTGAGCAGACTTCTCCTTTAAGAAATGTTATATTTTGAATTTATTCTGTTTGTGTGCAGAGTTATCTGTCTGACCACGATTTAAACTTAATTCCCACTTTCAGCCATTGGGGTGTTTGATCACAGACTGTCAACCTTATCTGATTAAATACCATATTTGATGGACATTTGATATATAATTATTGCACAACACAATGACTGAACAAAATTGAATCCATACCCAAACATTAAGAATGACAAAAATAGAAAAAAAACTGTCTTAAAGTGCATTAAAACCAAACAGATTCTGGATTAAAAGCTGTTGAAGATGCTTCGACGCTCCAGAAGCTCCATGATCTGGTTGTTGAGCTGCTTTGCTCTGTGGTTACAGGGTTTGTACCAGAATTTAAAATTAAATATTTTTCATCAGCAGATTTTGAATTTTAGTAAATCTATTTATAAACAGTTTCACCACAGATCAGTAAGATGAACAATAATAATATTGACTGTTTGATCTGGTTGAGTGCTTTGAAATGACGTGTTCAGTTTATTTCTATAGCTCCAATTCACATCATGTCATCTCAGGTCACTTTCCAGTTCAACCAGATCATCCAGTGAGATTGATTCAAAGTTTTCTATCTAAGGAAAACCAGCTGATTTCATCGACTCATTGACTCTTCAGCAATCCCTCACGCTAAGCATGCTTTTAGCGACAGTGGAGAGGAAAAACTCCCTTTGAACAGGAAGAAACCTCCAGCAGAACCAGGCTCAGTGTGAGCGGCCATCTGCTGAGGCCCACTGGGGTTCAAGGAGACAGAAGCAGACATAGAAAAAGAAGCATAGATACAAAAGGCAACTGTCAACCAGCTCCACAGGCGGCCCCGTCCAGGAAACACACAGCCACGCAGACGAGCTCCGAGCCAGCTCCCATGTCAGAGGATGAAGAGAGCACATCCAGTTAGTCACATGTGTTAATGGGTTCTATAGAAATAAGCAAAATGTAATTAAATAAAGTGATCAAAGCTCGCAAGTAGTGTCTCCTTTCTGTCTTTCCATGCTTATCAGCTTGTTCTCTAATATTCACAATAGTTGGAATGTGTTTAGCCCAGAGTGCCTCTCGGGGCTAACACCTCTAAAGCTCTGACCGATCAGGAGGCACTCTGCTCGGACACGCAGACTGCCAGATCCCCCCCTCCTACCAGATCTCCGGTTCTACGGGAAAACGGCATATTCCATCCAGAGTTTGAAGGTTTTTATTCAACAATCACACTTCATGAGGCCGCCTGCAAAAGGGCTCTCTCCTAGGAGCATCACTTTGGGTGCACTTTTTACCATGATGTATCCACCTAAGAGGCCTCCTCATCGGATAGGCTGCTGGGCAGCTTCCCTCTCTAACCAGATCTCATATTTCGTCATATTTCATCCAGGGATTGAGGTTTTTCATCCACCAATCAGTCCTCCTGAGGCCGGGCAGGGCATTGCTTTGATGTATAGATCTGTAGATGGTAGATCTTCAGCTTAAAGGAAAAGTACACCCAGATTTAGGAAATCCTATACACTACTGTTTATGCTCTAAAAACATTCTAAAAGACTTCGTTTCGAGTAAATTCTGGACGCTACCCACTCAGGACACTTGGAATACATTGGACGAGCAGTATGGAGGAATATTGACACGTTTTTTGTGGACTTTTATGGACCTTTCTGCCTCGGGCGCCATAGACCTCCATTATTTGAATGTCAGCAGACAGCAAGAAGCCTCCCAGATCTCCAGATGCATTTGAGATATCAAAAAAAGTACTCCAGAGTGTTGTTCAGCATGGGGGTGAGTAGAAAATGAAGGCTAATCATGTTTTGGGTGTACTATTCCTTTAACATGATCTTCAACAATAAAAACAACTTCTGTGAGCTCTTCTGAAGGACAGAAGGTATATAATTTAACTAATAAAACTCCTATCTGATTAGCTGCGTCCCCACGCTGCAAAAACGATCTCAAAATGAGTAAAAATGTCTCATGTAAAAGAGCATTTTCTGAAAGAGCATGTAAAAAAGAGCATTTGCCAATGGAATGAGTATTTTTACTCTTAAAATAAGGTATATAGATATTATGCACTTGAAATAAGACAATGCAATTGTTTTTTCTCATTTTAATTGTAAATTGTCTTGTTCCATTGGCAAAGTGTCTCACTTAAATCCTTATTTAAAGAAAAAATGACTTAGTTAGATAACATTTTTTGCAGTGCATTTGTCCCCTGACTCTACGGGTTAGCACACAGACGGTGAAAACACACAAGCTTTAGCTACACCACCATCGTTTATTACTAATGTCATCACTTACACAGGCTAAAGAAGTGTCAGCGATAGTCACTTAAAGGTCATTAGCAAACCATACTTGAGTAACTAGTTAGAAACAGTTTTGGAAACACTGTCATCGTCCAGATGGAAACCAAATATTTGGAATTTACACACATCTTACCAAATAAGCTGAACTTTAAAGCAGCAATACAGGTTATAAGGAAACTAAATGTAGAAGAAATAGATTGTGAATAGATTCCATTTCCTTTCGGTAATGTTTGATCGGTGCCTTGTTTGAAGATGGCGAAGAGCTTAAGTATTCAGAGTATTTCTTTGAGTATTACATGTTATAAGTAAATGGAGAACCCGATAATCTGTTGGGTCATACGACACATTGATCCGTTGCCCCCCCACCCCCGAATAAAACGACCTTTGTGTTCGACCAGCCGCAGATGTTGAGTTTCTCATGAAATGAAAAAAATAGACAAAGTTAGTTTCTGTGTTCCACTACAAGCAGTACAATATCAGAGACTTCAACCTGTTGTCCAGTAAGGCTAATCATGGGGAGTCCTTTAAAAAAAGCAGAGCAGGAAGTTCAGTCCTCCTCATGACGACGTCCGTCAAGCTCACGAGGATTTCTTCAGTTCTTAAAAGCTTATTTCTAGTCCAGAATAAAAGATGTCTCTATTTACAGCCAGGTCCTTTGAATCATCCTCGTCTCCTTTTATGATCCGCCGGAACGCAGCGCAGGTTTCATCTGGAACAGGAGAAAAGAGCGAACAAATCAGAACCACAAATCAGCATAGAAGCAGGCGATAGTTAGAGGGAAACTACAATTCAACCTGGGAAGACAAGAACATTAAGAGAGATTTATGGAAAAATATTCAGCAGTCAGGACTTGGTGTAAGAAAAATGATGATGTAATAACTGAAGAGATGAGTTAGGATTGCTGTGGTGGAATGGAGGCTAAAGCTTTTTTTTTTTTTGTTGCGTGTTTCTTTCAAATCTTCATTCACAAAACATGTATAAATGCAACAATAAGGAAAGGAAATGAGCTCCATGTTGCAGCTGCATCAAAAAAGACTTAAAGAAGCTCAATAAGCAAGTAAAGAAGGTCTGCTCTGTTCTGGAAACTCTTCTAGAACCTGTAGAGATGTTTTTATAAAGAAGAACATCAGAGAAAAGCGTCAGTCAGTCGTAAAACTCCAGAGTTTCTGCAGTCAGAGGATTCAAAAAAATCCTTTCTGCCTCAGCCGCCCAGATTAAGGTTCTGGAGGGAGAAGTTCTCTGAAGCAGAGATGGGAAGTAACGAAGTACAAATACTTCGTTACTGTACTCAAGTAGATTTTTCTGATATTTTTACTTTACTTTACTACTTATTTTTATGGCGACTTTTTACTTCTACTCCTTATATTTTTACACAAATATCTGTACTTTCTACTCCTTACATTTTAAAAAATTGGCTCGTTACTTTAGTTTTGAATCATTTCAATGGAGTTACCGTTATTATTTTTCATGTCATCAATACCAAATTCAATCTGATTGGATGGGAATCTACGTTGCATTTGACGCACCACTACAAGATGAATCGACAGATTCGGCAGTATTCATTGGCGGCAAATCATTGCAGCTTGGTGGTTGTGGCGTTAGCATAGTAGCATGGACGACGAGATGATTGAAAATGAACACAACGGAGATCTAGTCCTATTGGCAGACATCCATTTAAAATGTAGGCAACGGCATGAAAAAAGTAGTTTCTACTTTTACTTTTATACTTTAAGTAAATTTAAAAGCCTGTACTTTATTACTTTTACTTGAGTAAAGAAGTTTAATCAGTACTTCCACTTTTACCAGAGTATTTTTTTAACACAAGTATCTGTACTTTTACTCAAGTACGGAAAGTGAGTACTTTTGCCATCTCTGCTCTGAAGGCGATCCTCAGATTACTGTGAGTTTTTTTTATTGTTAGACATATTTTATTTATACTCTTACTTTGTTTGTGTTCCATGGGTTGTGTTCTGATGAACTATTATGATGTATAATGTGTGATTCATCTTTTATTAACTCTTGCTTAAGATCGTTCCAGATAAAGGCATGCAACGGACGGGTTGTGAAAGAGGCCTGAACATCCTCGATCACATGTTTCTTCTAAACAATTCATTGTAAAACAACCACATGCTTGTGGGAGAATTATCCTGCCATAATGCAAGAGCACATAATTTCAATTTGAGAAAAGAATTTAATCTCCTTGCACTCAAAACTTATAATATCAACACAATTGTGTTGATATTTACTCCTCTCGCTTGCCTCCTTCTCTTCGCGCACAAACCGCGCTCTGCTCGAGTCTCAGATACGCTCGCAAACCCGTAGGCTCTGCTTGCAGATTTTTTTTTTGCTCTCTCTCAGATTGGATCGGATCGTCGCCTAGCAACCTTTCCAGCCAATAGCACGACAGCCTCAGAAAGGGTGCGCTTGTCTAACTCTACTGAGTTACCTTACTCAGTAGTTACCTTACCGACAATAAAATGGCTTTTTAATTTAAAAGCTATCCATTTTCAGACGTGACGTGATGTGAACAGAGAACTCCCGCCTCAGAGTTGCTTGTCAGACAAAAAAAAAAAAAAAGTTTGCTAGTCAGATGAAGTTAAGTGACTTTTCATTGGTGATTCTTGAATCGCCCTTTATTATTTCCTTTTTTTATTTTCCTGATTGTTGTTGTTTTTCAGCTTCTTATTTTAATAGCTTTTAAATTAAAAAGCCAATTTATTGTCGGTAAGGTTTATCACAGGCACACTCAGTAGAGTTAGACAAGCGCACCCTTTCCGAGGCTGTCGTTCTATTGGCTGGAAAGGTTGCTAGGCGACGATCCGATCCAATCAGAGAGAGAGCAAAAAAAATCTGCAAGCAGAGCCTACGGGTTTGCGAGCGTAACTGAGACTCGAGCAGAGCGCGGTTTGAGCGCGAAGAGAAGGAGGCAAGCGAGGGGAGAAAATATCTGTGCAAGAAGCATTAAATCTGAGAGAAGAAACAAAGATTTGAGAGAGAAGAGAAAAGATTTGAGAGAGAGCGCATGTTTGGAGTGTGAGCATTATAAGTTTTGAGTGCAAGAAGATGAAATTCTTTTCTCAAACTGAAATTATGTGCTCTTGCATTATGGCAGGATAATTCTCCCATACAGCTTTGTTTTAACATATGTGCTGAGGTTTAAAGTAAGATCCTTTTGTTTCCCTTTCCCTTTAGTTAAACCTCAGCTGGTGTAATTAGGGACATCCCCTTTTCTTCAATAAATAGCAAGGAGAAAGCTGAAGACTGCAGAGTGGGGTGGAGATGGTAAACTCTGCAGTCTCCTTCCTACTCTCCTCGCGAGTAACTAAATTAACTGTCTTTGTGCCTTCTTTCTTTCCCTGTATGTATGTTTTAGGTGCTTAGACCTTCCATTAATTATTTTATTTCTTTGATCCCACAGCAGTGGACCAAGTGGACCTGCCGCCTTGCCAGACGCCTGCGGCTCCAGCAGGACGTGTCGCTGACTAACCTCCCACTGAGGCGAGACTCATCACACAATATCTTATTTCTGAGAAGAAAAAAAAACTTCAAAAAGAGTTTTAAATTTGTAATAAGTACTTTGAATTTTAATTTATTGGAAAACTTGACATTTGTACTCATAAATGTTTAATTTCAAGTGATAAAAATGTATTGAAAAATTAAACTTGTATGTGAAAATATGTAATTTGTAGCTGTAAATTTGATTTGCGCTTGCAGGTTTGCTAATTGGATTAGTACATTTGTAATTTATATTACTTAATTTGTGCTTGTACTTCTGTTGCTGCAAAGTTGTAACTTTAAAACTTATTTTGGTAACAGCTAAACTTGTTTTCTCACCGATGCAACATCTGAAGCCACATGTATGTGGGAGCTGACAACAAGGAACTACGGCAGAAACAATTAATCGTGATTAATCGATTATTCAAGTAATCATCAACTAATTTAGTGATCAATTGATCGTTAACTGGAGTATAGAGACTCTAAAACATGCATTTAGCTGACAGAACGACCCACTTACAGCAGGAATTATATCAAAATTGTAGGAAAAAAAAATATGAAAACATTTTGCATTTAACATAAAAATAAAAGTTTTTTTTGCCAATCTGCTCTATAATCCAGAACTCCTCAAGTGAAAAAGTTTTCGTTTCACCGGTTCTAATTTAATAAAAAATCTTTAAGGAACCTTTGGCTATCCGATTATTAATCGATTCATCATAAAAATAATCTACAGATTAAACAGTTTGCTAAATAGTCGTTAGTTGCAGCTTTACAAGGAACAAATACAAATCTTAAATACATTCAAATATCATAACCTACATTTACATATTCAGACACTCGTTCACACATTTACATTGAGCGTTATCTTACCCCATATAGAAAACTATCATCTGAAAACATTGGAAAAGGAAAATATAAAAAAAATTATTGAGGTAATTAGAGATTTGAGCTATTAATCCAGATGGATTAACTCGGAGGGATGATGGCTGTTTGCTTCAGACCGCAGGACGGCTGCAAAGGAAGAAACGATGAGAGCAGGTGTCTGTTTTTGCTACACATTACTGATTTGGAACAGTATTAAACACAAGTTTGTGCTGCTTAATTATTCCACCTTTTATGTGAGAAATTATGTGAAATATTCCCTGCACTGTAATTTACATAAGTTTAGATGTGATTTGTGTTCAGATTTCAGCAGCTGATCTGCAGCAGTTGCTAGGGTACCAGGAGTAGTTCTGTTACTAAGCCATCATGCAGCTTTCAACAGTCAATCCATCAAAGTTTTCCTTCATTTTTCACTCTCCTGTTTGGGGCTCAAGTGTTTTAGGAAAGAATTTACCTTTTCGAAGTTTGGGGGCGTGGTCTGTGTGTCTGGTCACCTTATAAGGAGACTAAACCTATAATACTGTCTCTGAAGCAGAGGTGAGAACACATTATTGGTTCAACTACGTCTCTGGTCTTTATCCTAAAGTAGCGAAAATGTTAAATGTAAATATTTAACCATGTTTGCTCTTTTGATAACAGTATTTATTAGCCTGGTGAGACCATCCTGATCTCGCGAGCTTTTATGGTTTCACTCGCTAATCAGTCTGGAGACTCTCCGTTAAAGAAAATTTGGAGCCGTTCACCAAACGAACGTCCAATCAGCGTTGGCTTTGAGGCGGGTTGAGGTGTGACGCAACGAGAAGCGCGACAGTTCAGTCTAAAGAACATGGCGGCTTCAGCCGATGAAACTAGCGTTAGCGTGGCTATCGAGCAAGTTTTATCGGAATTACAGAGTATTTCTTCACTGAAAGAAGAGCAAAACACTGCTCTGGAGGCTTTTCTCAGAGGAAAAGATGTTTTTGCTCTTCTCCCGACTGGTTTCGGCAAGAGTTTGATCTATCAATTGGCTCCTCTTTGTCGTCGCTCTGTTAGTACGTCATATGCTTCGTTGATCTGATTGGTTTATTTGGCCCGTCTATCACCAACATAGGCCAATCAGCTAACCAGTATTTTCGCCCCTTCCCAAAATTACTTCAACGGAAGGTTTCCAGATGGATATGCGGAGCAAATCCATCTGGCGGAGTCAGGTTAGGTATTAATATCAACTACAGATAAAACAAGTGCAATTAAACATTTGCTAATAAGACAAATTTAGCTAAAGTTAGCTATCTCGGCCACCAATCATTCTTTATGCTACTTTAAACGTCCAACAATGTCCGTCTCCATCTGTGA